ATGGGCCCCCCTCTGTGGGTCCATGTCAGCCGTGGGGCTGCCCGTGTGGGGAGGGATGTGGGGTCTCTGGCACTGGGAATGACAAGCTGCGGTGGCAGCGTGTCCTCCGGCACGGAGCTGCTGAGGACACCGAATGCTGTGGGGCAGGGTTTGGGGGGGTCTGGCTGCAGATGGGTCCCCCTCTGTGGGTCCATGTCAGCTGTGGGGCTGCCCCTGTGGGGAGGGATTGGTACTGGGAATGACAAGCTGTGGTGGCAGCGTGTCCTCCTGCATGGAGCTGCTGAGGACACCAAGGTCCAGGTGATCCCCCTCTGTGATGGGATGGGGATGGAAAAGGGATGAAGAAGGGGATGGGATGGGATGAGGATGGGGGTGGGATGGAGATGGGATGGGACGGGATGGGGATGGGAAGAAGAAAGGGATGGGATGGGGATGGGTTGGAGATGGGGATAGGATGGGATGGAGGGGAATGGGTTGGAGATGGGGATGGGATGGAGATGGGGATGGGATGGAGATGGGTTGGAGATGGGGATGGGATGGGCTGAGGATGGGGATGGGATGAGAATGGGAATGGGATGGGATGGGCTGAAGAAGGGGATGGGATGGGCTGAAGAAGGGGATGGGATGGGGATGGGGATAGGATGGGATGAAGAAGGGATGGGATAGGAATAGGTTGGAGATGGAGATAGGATGGGATGGGGATGGGATGGAGATGGGATGAAGAAGGGGATAAGATGGGAATGGGTTGGAGATGGGGATGGGATGGAGATGGGATGGGATGAAGAAGGGGATAAGACGGGAATGGGTTGGAGATGGGGATGGGATGGGATGGGGAGGGGTTGGAGATGGGGATGGGGATGGTGATAGGGATGGGAAGGGGACAGGGATGAGGATGGGATGGAGAAGGAATGGGATGGGATGAGGATAGGGATGAAGATAGGATGGGGATGGGATGGGGTTAAGGAGGCAGCCATACACTCCAGCTCCCAACCCCTTGCTGTTCCCTGCACCGCAGCAGCCAGCACCCCCTTGGTGGCTCCTGCCGTGGTCACCCCCAGGCAGGGGAGGAGAAAACCCACCCCTGGCTTTGCTGGAAGTCACGGGGTGAGACCTGAGCCCTCCTCACAGACCAGCAGCAGCCGTGCTGCCAGCTGAGCACCGATTAATATCTCAGTCCACGGGTCGCTTGGATACAGCCTCTACCGAGATGGGGAGCCTTGCTCAGGCACTAATTGTTAAATAATACCTGCAGGGGGTTTGCCAGCCACTGCCCGGAGCCAGCAAGCGTGCGGTTGCACGTTGCACACCCCCCTCGCACGCTGCAAAGCCCTCCATCCTCCTCCTCCTCCTCCTCCTTGCCTGGTTTTGCTCAATAACCTTCCTCCCCGTTGCCAAGCCGGGTGGCGGAGCGGTGCCTGCTCTTGGCCGCCGGCCCTCACATGCTTCTGACAAGCAAATTAAACTCCCTGCATGAGCGAGCCTCGAGCCACGGTGTGAAAAGTGGCCGGCGGGGGCTTGGCCGAGCTGCTCTTCATTCACATCTCGACTTGCAAGGGCTGGGGGAGAGCCACTTGGGTCAGGGCTACCTGACCTACCCTCCCCGTAGCCACGCTGGGGGTTACTCACCTTCCCGATGGTCCCAGCCCGGTTGGGATGCAGGAACGAAGGTGAAAAACTCAGGGATGAGCTTCTGTGGAGGTTGGGGGGAGACCCCAGGATCTCAACCCCCATGTTCCTCCATCATCCAGATGGTGCTGGGCTCAAGGTGCTTCCCCGGGTGCCTGGATGATGGGGTACGCAGGGTATATTTTTTGGAAGGGATGGAGAAGATGAGGAAGGGGTGAAGGAGCTGTGGAGGGGATGAAGGAAGGGATGGAGGAGGTGTTGAGGGGATGGAGGAAGGGATGGAGGAGGTGTTGAGGGGATGGAGGAAGGGATGGAGGAGGTGTTGAGGGGGGTAAGAGGGGATGGAAGGGATGGAGGGGGGGAAGAGGGGATGGAAGGGATGGAGGAGGTGTTGAGGAGGGGGAAGAGGGGATGGAAGGGATGGAGGAGGTGTGGAGGGGATGGAAGGGATGAAGGAGATGTTGAGGAGGTGGAAGAGGGGATGGAGGAGGTGTTTTTGGGGGAGAAGAGGGGATGGAAGGGATGGAGGAGGTGTTGGGGTGGGGGAAGAGGGGATGGAAGGGATAGAGGAGGTGTTGAGGAGGGGGAAGAGGGGATGGAAGGGATGGAGGAGGTTTTGAGGAGGGGGAAGAGGGGATGGAAGGGATGGAGGAGGTGTTGAGGAGGGGGAAGAAGGGATGGAAGGGATGGAGGAGGTGTTGGGGGTGGGGAAGAAGGGAAGGAAGGGATGGAGGAGGTGTTGAGGGGATGGAGGAGGGGATGGAAGGGATGGAGGAGGTGTGGAGGGGATGGAAGGGATGAAGGAGATGTTGAGGAGGTGGAAGAGGGGATGGAGGAGGTGTTTTTGGGGGAGAAGAGGGGATGGAGGGGATGGAGGGGG